ATAAAAACCTTTAGATAAATCAAACATTACCGCCACATATCTGACTCAATAACCATTAAAACAACTATTTTAATTTATTTCAGACGGAACTATTCATACTTATATTTTATATTAAACTGAACTTCCATTATTCACCACTTTTCAGCACCAAGTACAATTTCCACTGATCACGGAGCAGCCAGCTTGCTTGGTCTTGCAATGAATTCTGGGATATTCAAGGACAGAGAGGATACATCGGACCCGTCCTTCAAATCGGGCAAAAAGAAGGACGCATTTGTAGGCTGCATAACGAGGAGTCTTGGAATCCTGACCAGACCTCGTCGCCGCGCTATGACGTACGTTTATGACGCCTTCAAACTCTGGCCTTCAGAGGAAGCAGCCCATTAATTCAAACAGAGCCATTGTTAGAGTGGCTCAGGTCGACCTGAGCTATTTCTATATTTACTTTATGCTGATCTTGACTTGGAGTGCTGGGTGACATAGGGACCACTTTTTCTTCTTAAATTCTCATATTCTGAATTAATAATCAGATTAACTTCAACATATCAGTTCTTTGCTTTTTCTGACCACAGTATCTTTGTCTGGCTTGGTTCTGTTCATCTGTGACAGCATCCTGGAGGGATGGCTTGGTTACGCAGCCTGACATTGTCTATGATGTTGTTTGTTCACTTGAGTTCTTATAGTTATGATAAATTCAGAAAATAGCTCAGACTGAATTACACAAAGGTGGACTTTATTGACTTAACAGGTGATTCCTGAAGGCAGTTGGCTTCACCGGATCAAAGGAAGCTGAATCCAAAAACACGACAAACTTCACAGATTTGTTTTACTAAAAAGCTTAAATGCTGTAAAAATGGCCATAATAAGTTCAGGCCTGTGGATATAAGGCTGCATATCCCCCTGTATCCGGAAAAAGGTTATTTAGTGGAAATGTCTGCTTGTCAAAATGCTCACAGTTGCCAGCGCCTGTCTTCATTACCACTGTCGGGTGTTTACATTGTCCTCATTAGCGGACAGCCTCCTGATGATAACAAAGCTGTAAAAAAAGGCATCAATGGCAGTGATAAACAGGACAAGCTACTTTTTGGTTGACACTAGTCCCTCTGTTTACTCTTGAGGCATGGGAACGGATAACAGGACTGTCATTCTGGTACCGGGGATTGACATTTTCAAACTTTGAAACAGTAAAGTCTCATTTTAGAAGCAAAAGTGGTTCCCTGCTAAGGGATTTACAAACTTTTAATCAAAATGAAGTTATTCAGGACCTTTCTACTGCAGATGTTTGTGACTCTGGTGCTTCTTATTGCCTCCTGCACCTGTAAGCCTCTCAATAACAGCGTCCAAAGTGAGGATCTTGAGAAATTCTACTTGCAGTTGTCGGAGGACCTGTTAGAGGAAGAGGATGCAGAGTCTCAAATGGAGGACTTCTTGGCAGAAATGAAGGACGGTTTTCTGAAGAAGCTCAACCTTTCCGACGTTCCACAGGAGGATCGCAGGATCTCGCCCCCTCAGTTCATGGTGGAGCTGTACAACAAATACGCCTCAAATAGGTCAGCAGTCCCACAGTTTGATGTCATACGAAGCTTCGCCGTCCAAGGTACGTAAACCATGGAGGCACCAAGAATGTGTCTTTGATGGAAACCAGATTAGGAAGATTAAATGCCAGTTCCGTTTTTTTTTTTCTGGTTTCATTGTTTATGAACAACAAATTACAAATCGTATCCTCCCTATATCTAAAATATATAATATATAAAGCTCGAATCACATATTATTCAGAAACAAATTCTCACTCAGTCTGTGAACTATGATAGCCTCCAACCCCCCCAGAACCCCCCGAACCCCACCACCCCCACACACACACACAAAGAGTCTCTTGACTCTTTTTTGATTGTTTGTTGTTTTTATGTCTCGTCTATTTAAAAATTACAGAATTGAACTGTAACTAAATTCCCAATATAAAGATTAACAGGAAGTCATTATTTCTGACATCTTTTATAAACTGTTCCTCAAAATATAGAAGCAATTCGGGACAAAAGGGACTCAGAAGACAGAAAAGAATAGATTAAATCTGATATATTCATTGAATTATTTCCCTCTTTTTGTCATTAATTGAAAAATATTTCTATCCCATGATATTAATAATATTAAAACCAGTTGGACCAGAACTGTTATTACAGCCGTATCACTTCCGCTGGAAGTGTACTTCTGTCACAGCGTAAAACACAAAATAAATTATTGCATGAATCGTTGCTTTTCATTATTATTAATAATTATTCAACCATATTTTTATTGGGTTTTGTACGTATATTTTACTTGTACAAAGAGAAAGTAATCAAAACAATAACATCCATAAAATGAACGGACACAATTTCCACAAAACATTCACATACTTCACACATTTAACAAAGTAAATGAAACCTAATAAAACACTCAACAACACATATCAACACAGCAATTTTGAGTTGTTTGAGTTCTTCGATGTTAAAAAAAAAAACTGGAATGAAAGGATTCCATATAGCCTCTGCAGCCTTTCCCCTGATTATATAAGTCACACTGAAAAACGATCTAGAAATAAGGAAATATTTCTGAAATTAAGCATATTTACCCTTAATTTGAGCAGGTAAATGAGATAGTTTGCCAATGTAATGGGTATTTTTACTCTTAGAATAAGATAATTAGGTAATATGCTCTTAAAACAAGACAATGCAATTGTTTTTTCTTATTTTAAATGTAAATTTTCTAGGTCCATTGGCAAAATGTCCCTTTTATCTCTTCAATTCAAGAAGAAATGTACTTATTTTAAGAAAAAAATGACTTATGTAGATTTACATTTTTTGCAGTGCAGTCTTTCCAACATAATACAAGATGCCGTCTCCTTTATCCACATATGTATCGAGGGCACATCCATCTTTCTCCTGGACAGAGATATCATCCTCCTCGCCTGCAGGAGTCCAAAATCAATATAAGCAGACTGGTTAGGAGTAACTGTGAAGTTTTTTGCATATATACCAAGTATACATATTTCTGCCAGGTCAGGTATCTTCACTCTAATGATCTCAGATAATGTCAGAACAATTTCTTTCCCATATTTGTTTATATTTGGGCAATCCCATATGCAGTGATACAGAACATCCTTTCCTTCCAAACACTCAATGAACATGTCTGGCACATCAGGAGACCACTGATTTATTGATATTATTTATTGTGGTTAAATCATTTTTGTTTTAAGAAAATGCACTAATCTACTGCACCCCTGAGAACAAGTTTTATATTTTTTTTGCAGATTTTACTAATGTTGATACAATTTGTATGAAGTTAATTTTATTCATTAATAATTTTTTTAGGTTCTGTTGGCCTCTATTTTTATTATCTTTTAAAGTAAGCAGACAGGAAATAGGATAAATGAGAGAGGGAAGACATGTATGAGGCCCTGTTTGTAAAGTTAAGGAATCACAAATTAGAGGCAATATTTATGGTTATTTAGCGTGTTTTAAGAGAAAAATAAGGGTTTTATTTTATTTTCCAATTTATTTTTTCACTATATGATTCATTCATTTATAAAACTAAATATTTAGGTTGTTTAATATATATTTCATTTGGACCAAAATATTTGTATAACATTTAATATTTAAAAAACTAAATATTCAGTTTGGAGCTAACAAATTAAATAGTAGGTTGGAGCTAAATATTTATTTTTAATCTGAAAACTCACACGAAGAGAAAAGACAATTAGAAGAAATATATTGAAACATAGCACTGAGTTTTGATAAATATGCATCAACAGGAGTAAATAACAGGGCTGTTTCCCCCCCAGGCCTGAAACTGGTGGTGGAGTGGAGATAGAGGAAGTTGGTCAGTCTGTAGACTGCTGGTTAGTGAGACGGTCTGCTGAGATTTATGGGGAGATCCAGTGGACTGCATGAGCTGATACTAGAGCTTCACTCAGGGACCTGGAAGATGGAAGTCCAATTGGATAACACAGGTTTAGAGAACCTGTCTGTGATGAGCAAGCATGAAGCGACAGTGGAGAGGAAAAACTCCCTGTTGGGAAGAAACCTCTGGCAGAACCAGGCTCAACATGGCAGTCTTCGGCTGGACCGGTTGAAATGAGACAGGGAACGCAGTAAGAATCGGGGAGGAATTAAACTCTGATGAAGCTTTAGCTATGATGGTGGAGGAGGGGATAGAGGAGGTTGAATCGCGGTCATCTGAATAAAGTTTATGGTACACGATCGGAGGCCTTTTAAGATGAACTCTGAATGCTGATTGGCTTTCGTGGAGGCGTGGTTCAAAGCTGATTGGCTGTGTCGCAGGTGGATGCAGTAAAGCAATTAGTTTCTTTAGTTGAAGTTCTGCCTGTAAAAAACTAAATATTTAGTGTGGAGCTGAATATTAAAAAAATTTTATATTTAATTTGAAAGTTAAATATTTAGCTCCAAACTGAATATTTATTTAACAAAGTAAGTTTTTTTTATAAATAAATGAAAGTCATAGCGAAAAAATTAATTGGAAAAGATAAAACCCTTATTTTTATCCTAAAACAAGCTAAATAACCATAAATTGCTCCTAATATTTGGCTGCTTAACTTTACAAACTGCGCCCCATAGACTTGCGAGCTGGACTGGAACCTGCGACGGTCTCTGAACTCGGCTCCCGCTCTTAACTCCTGCGCCGCCGCTGCACCCCTTATTCTATTACTGTAACAAGCAAAAAACACATTTTGTAAATGGAAAACTTGAGATAAAAATGATTTTCAAAGTAGTTTACATTTTAATTTTTCAATATTCTTAATATTTTCTTTTTCATATATTTTTTTCATTTCTTTTTTCCAAAATTGAGCTTTACAAATTGGATTCTTTTCAAACAGAGTTTTACCGATGATGTTCTGCTCACTGTTTTTATTGATCAAGAGAAAGCTTTTATTTTGGACTCGAGGCGAGTAAAACATGATCTGTAAAACACAATTTGAAGAGAACGAAATTGGCAAAACTCAGTCTGTAAAAGAAAAATGTGAAAAAACAAAATCTGGAAATAAAAAAATCTATTAAAAAAACGCAATACATTTTTTAAAATACAGTATAAAAAAATTAAATCAGAGAAAACAACACACATTCTAAACAAAATTTAATATACATACTAAGAAGTTTTATCAAATTTTGATTCCTTCGATTGCTTTCATTTTTTTCAAAATTCCTGCTTGGAACAAAATGGATCAAAATTAACTCCATAATTAAATAAGGGGGAAAAAAGAACTGATTTATTTAAATGTCTTCATCAGATCTGAGTCTGCTGACGACCTTTGGCCCCGAGTCGAGGTGGAGGCTGCAGTTCAACGTCAGCGTCCCCGACCATGAAACCATCATCACTGCTGAACTACAGCTGCTCTTCCTCCCAGATGCCGCGGCTAACGGCTCGTCGCAGAGCTTCAAAGCCTCTGTCCACGTCTACGAAGCTGATGGCAGCAATTTTGCTTCGACTTCACATCTGCTAGATGGCGAAGAGGTAACGGCCTCTCAGAGCACATGGGCGACATTTGACGTGACCACTGCAGTTCAGGGCTGGATTAAATTAGGTGGATTAGGAACTGCATTTGATGTGGTGGTAAATAGGAAGGACTGTGGAGCCCCTGATAGCTCAGAGGGAACGGGCTGTTTGAACATGAGCCTGTCTGTTGGAGATAATGCTGCAGCTGCATTAATAGTCTTTTCAGATGACTTTAATAGCAGAAGGGGGGAGGCAAAGAAGGAGCTCAGAGAGATGATCCTTCATGAGGAGGAGACTTTGCTTCACACTGGGGCCGACTGGAACAGAGGGAGTCGAGTTCCAAGTGAGGGCCCCCAGGCTCAGAGTCGACGGAGAGCGAAACGAAAGGCCGATAGAGAATACTGCCACCGAAGGTCGCTCAAAGTCAGCTTTAAAGACATCGGATGGGACAGCTGGATTGTGGCGCCTCCAGAGTATGACGCCTTCGAGTGCCGAGGGATGTGTTCCTACCCTCTGACAGATGAGTCAACGCCATCCAAACACGCCCTCATCCAAACGCTCCTCAACCTCAGGGACCCGGGGAGGGCCAACATGGCTTGCTGTGTGCCGATAAAACTGGACCCCATAACTGTCATGTATCAGGAGAACGGACGCATCACTATCAGATACCTTTACGAAGAGATGAAGGTGGCGGAGTGTGGCTGCAGATAGTCGGAAGAAGACACTTGTTAAAGACTCCTTGTTGCTTTATCATCTACTTTAGAGAAATTTTGTTTTATTGGATTTATTTACATGAGGCTGAGGGGAAAATGTACTCAAATGTATTAAAGCACTGAGAATATGAAAAGTACTGAAAACACAAGGGGGTTACTAAACCTGTGTGCAAACCTGCTGGTAGGAGATCATATCTCTCCTATCCTGGCTTCTCTTCATTGGCTTCCTGTTAAATCCAGAATAGAATTTAAAATCCTCCTTCTCAC